TACGGAGTAAGGGTTAATTTTCATAAAATGGTCCTTTATAATTAGTTTTCTTCATTGGGAGTTTGCTTTTACTGATCACACAAAATTCAGACCCGTAAAATTTCCTCCTCTTTCTAATTCCTTGAAATGACCTTGAAGGTCATGATCATGGTCATTAAGTAACCCCCGCCGAACCTCACAACTTTGGTGTCGAACATTTTTGCAAGAGCACATAGTTTTCAAGATGTTTGGATTTCATCTTGACATGATCTTGACATTGAGGTCACGGTCAAGGTCATATTCGGACGTAAAATTTTTTCCTCTTTCCAATTGCGGTGTGAAAAAAGGGGCGTTCCATTTGAAAATTTTGACTTGACCTTGAAATGACCTTGACGGCCATGGTAACGGTCATGGTCAAGGTCACTGTTGGATGCCCCCCTCGAAACCCTACAACTTTTGTCTAAAACTTTTTCTTCTAGGATGTGCAGTTTTCGAAATATTTGGGGTGGGCAATTAAAATGGGACACCCTGTATATATATATATGAAAGAAATAAATTTAGAAAACGAAATAGAATACCTGGAACCATTGATACCTGCGGTAACAAAAAATGAACTCGTATTAAATGAGGAAAAGATTAGACATTACGTACGTAACAACAAAACAATGCTCGCTTTGTGAGTAATGTGTAATTCATTTCAATTCTAAAATTTCCAAGTTTATACGCGATGCTCTTAAAATTTTAGAACGAGTTTTTATGAATATTTCTCATGAACCAAAACTTGCTAAAAAGTTAACATATGTCTTAGAAGAACAATATATTTCATCATGTTTTTCAGAATATACACACTTGAAAACAATTTTACTACAAATTTACTACAAAAAATTATTCAAGAATTTATTACAATTTTCTGTCAATTTATAAACAATATTTTATGCCAAAAAATAAATAATTTACAATCTGACAATTATCTTTATAATACAGCAAAAAGAATGTCTAAAATATCTGAATGTCTGAAATATCATAGAAAGAATAATGAAAGAAAAACTCAACAATGAATACAAATTTATATTTGCGAATACTTTTACAAAAATGGCTGTAACAGCTAAGTCAAATTTTTTTAAGTTTTGTCCAGATTATTGGTGAACATTTCATTGTTTTTTTGTCAAGTAACAAATACCAAAATACTTACAACTCAGGTTCGGTTCAATAATTTATACGCACTTTTAATTATACATATAATATTACTTGCTCATTTTTTTGTGCAATTTTATTATTGCGTACATAATTATAAAATGTAAAATTAAATTTATATATGTAAGTTTGATATAGAATATTTATATAAAATATTTAAGTTTTACTAAAAATTTGAGAAACATATTTATTTTGCAATCAATTTTTGATTTTATATTTAAACCTTTTTAAGCATAGGAATACTTTCCAAAGTAATTACAAACGTTTCATTAAAACTATTCATTGTTACGATCAGAAACGATCAAATTTTCAGTAAAATTTAATATTTACTTACATACACACACGTTACATACGCACGCAAACACTTTTGCAGAGCAGTTTTCAGTTTTATATTGAAAAAACTTTTTAAGACCGGTTTTTATAGTCCATTCTTATTTTTTTTAGACCGCCTTAAGTAATATCTTTAGATTCCAAAGCAACCCTCTAATTGATTCGTGACATATTAAGTCTGTATTTAAGATGATCTTGAATATAAGAATCGACTATGAATACCAGTCTTAAAGATAAGAATGAAAATAAATATTGTTAAAAGTAATAAAAATATTTCATTAATGCTTATTTACCAATCATACACCAATGTAGATTAACTTTAATCTCGCTTCATTCTTTACTTTCTAATTCTTTATTTACTAATTCTTTACTTTCTAGTTCTAAAAATTAGCAAAAAAATAAAGAGTAAATTGAAATTAATTTACGTTGGAAACGGGCATAAGAGTACTTATGTTGCGATCAAATTTTCAGTTAAACTTTAATATTTATACACACATATAATGTTAGATAAAAAAAAACATGTACAACGTAGAAAATGTACGTTAAATTATAAAATAAATGAACGAATTGATTGAATCAAACATGAATTTATTATTTATCTCTTTTATCGTACAAAATAAATTATAAATTTATAATTTTAGAGAATATGATATGAATATAAAAATCGAGAAATAATTTAGCTAAGATTAGAATCACGTATTGTTATCGACTCAGATATCATAGTTCCATTTCCAGGTTGCCACTCTATAGGAAACGTCACATCCGCTGTCAACGTTTTTCAAGAGGGAAGTTGGACAACCTTGATGTGATCTATCATGATTAATATATGAATATATAGATGATATTTGATATTGAATGATTGTGAACCACTCTCATTAATGAATAAAATAAATAAATTAATTAATTAATTAATGAAAAGGATTGAATCTTAAATGAACAAAGCATAAGGTAAAAGCTATCTAAATATCTTTGGTGCACATTTTATTTATTTTTCACTATCGCCCTTTTGCCATTATCGCTGCTATTACCGGTCTCCTAGGAACACTAATTGGGTCTCGTTTTTGGCAAGACACTATGAATATAAGACTATGAATATAATAGTTAACATAGTCAAATGTATCAAAAAAAACATTTGATTTTTGCAATTTAATCTGCACATTGCTAACAGAAACCTGCTAACAGATCATGATATACCAATTATAAGAGTTAAGCAGAATTTTATAACTTTCAGATGATAATTCTTTGTAAATAATTACAAAATGGCGGATTATTCTTAATTTCTACTCGATTTGTATTTTTCTCGATAAAAAAGAAAAACAATATAATGATACATTAAAAAAGAAAAGAATATTCGAAAATAAAAAAAAAATTCTTGAGACAATTAAGCATGAACAGAAGAAACAAACTGTTTAAAGCGTGGAAACAGATATAATTCTTCTTTGAGGAATTTTTTATCATATCAAATCATATATTCCAAAAATATAATATTTTAAACTTGCTACATTTATTTTATATGGTAAATTGTATATTTAAATTATAATATTTTAATTTAATATATTCTTACGTCCATCGGACTCCCACGACTCTCTTCTTTCATGGAGATTTGGAGTTCATTGAAATATAGAAACAGCTACGAGTAACAATCAAATCGAGTCGTTATAACTCAGAAAGGACTAAAAATTTTCTTTTCCCACGTTAAAAACTAAAGCGAAGAATTTAGTATCTTCTCGTAAATCGCTCAGCGATTTAAAAATTAGTGCACGTGCGCGAGCGGCGGGACCAAAAGGACGAGTCTGTGCCCCTCGGACACCGCGGTTAAAAAAATAATAACAAATATGTCATTTGGAAGCGTAGGACCAAAACATTTTTTTAACGGTCAAGTCGCAAACAATTCTCACAAATTCGCGATCGTAAAATCTAAAAGTGACACGAGACGTTCTGGGGAAGAAGCATTTGGTGGGCTCGTGCCGTTGCACGTGCGCTTCCTTGACGTACTCCTTGCACATGATTTTAGTAAAAAGCGCCATAAAGTTTAAGATGACACTTGCTTACACTCTACAGAGTCCAGTTAACATCCTCTTCTTCCCCGAATCTCGACGAATCCTGGAGCGAGAAAAATTCTAGTTAATGAAACCTATTTCACCGAAACCCGAGTAATCGGGGGAGATTAATATAAAAACCGCGGCCCTCGAGAGGATTTTTTAAAAGTTCCCAGAGGCGAAAGTTGTGTCGGGATTCATCTGATTCTCGAAGATCTTTTTTTCAGTGATTACAGTCAGTGCAAACAAGTAATTCATTCTATCAACCTAAGATCAACGGCACTAAAGGATCGGACAAATCCACGAAATGGATCAAGCACTCAGCATCCCCACAGTTGACGGTCTCTCTGGCATCCTACACATCACTATCACCGAGTAGTAAGTCTTCGATCCTATTCCAGTACCCTCTTCTTCTTGTGTTTTTAAAGACAAATAAATTTTTAGTGCGTTCTCGCAGTACTTCCGCTCCTTGTCGCCATCGTTCCGCGGAGATTAATAATACGCGCCGACGCATTATCCGTATCCATTCTATCACCTCGGAAAACTCCCAAGAATATAAAAATTCTCTGATAGTTCAGCCATCGGTCCCGACTCAATCGCCAATCTAGAAATTTCCTACTCTCCCATCTCTAACTCGTCTCCAGATTTTTTCGATGACGTCTTCCCCTCCAGTCCCTTCCTTGTTTCACACTCAGTATCACCATCCCTGACTGAGGAATCTTCTCTCCTACCGCCTCTTTAATTATTCCCGTCCAAATGATGGATACACTCCCACTAGTTCTTTTTCCCTCCTTTTCCATAATTCCAATCAATTGTTGGAATACATATCCTTCTTAATTCCTTTTTCCAACGGGTCTCTTTCCAAACTCTTTACACTCGATGTAACGTCTACGTTACGCACGCACGCACCCAGCCTGTTGTATCCTTAAAGAATGGTATGTTCAACAATGCCAATGTTTTATTTACACTAGATTTATTGATGGTATGTCAACAATAAGTGTAAATAATAATAATACTAATCTAAATAATTATACAACATGAATTAGAATTTTATAAACTCAGTGTTTCATCATTATTGTATATAATTATTGTATTTAAATAAAACTATTTATATATTGAGACATGTTCTCTACAAAATCAGTTTGTATCTCCGTTACATAATAAATATATATGTATATACAATTATTATACAAGTGTAAAATTTATGAATTTGCTAATAAGAATTAAGTTTAAGAAATCATAAGTTTGAAATCATAAGTTTGTTCGCGTCGCATGCTTCAACATGCTCCTATTATATAATATATCTATACTTAATCAATCAGTTTCTGCGAAAAACGGATGATGCTTAAGCTTCGAGAATCAAAGTGAGATAGTCTTGAATTGATTGATAAATATGCAACTCGCAACGCATTCTTTAAGATATCTATGAATAAGACTGGCCATCGTTCTCCATATTCTCGCAACATATTCATCAATAATCCGGTTAATCAAATGTTACAATTTCTATTAACACACAAAGTTAGTCTAAAGAAAATAAAATTAAAAGTTTACTGAAGGTTTTTATCATAAGCACAGACAAAAGATTAATTAACTTACCTAAGAACTTTGCCATAATCCCGAGCATTAAAGTATTCTTCTGCCATTTGCACAACTGTAAAAAAAAGAAAAAGAAATTTTATTTTATGAGTACAAAATGCATTATCTAACTTATTATGGATCTAACTTATTCTTTTATACTTATCCTAATTTTTATGATATCCATTTGGAATTTTAAACTTTCATGGCGCACAACTTTCAGAATGCACTTTTTCACTATGTTTTGATTCTGTCATCACGTTGATAGCTATCCTAACCGCTACGCAAGCAGTGGCTCGCATTCTGACAATTTTATCGCGTTCCGAAAATCATTTATGAAAAAGCGTTTCAACTTTTTAAGTTCCGATTATACATGGATAACAAAGGCGTTCAAGACATGTCGTACATTTCCAATCAGAAAGTTGGAAGAGGCTCATTTGACATTTATGTATCTATGAAAACGACGGATACGCTCTAAACAAATTATTATGCTGAAGATGGTTCGGAAGGAGTCGAAACGTTCAAATAATTAAGTCATATGTAATAGAGACTAATCACATGCGAACAGATAATTTGTATGTATTAGAAACAAATTAAATCATTAATTTGCCGCACCAATAACCGCACATTATATTTATTATTTATACATATATTATTTATTTGCCAATATTAACGAGTCTAAATTGTTAGTTATACATCAGAGAATACAATAAAATATTATATTTTTATTTAAAATAAAAAAATTAATTTATGTTACGTACACTTTTTAATAACCCGCGCATTGATTTAGTAGTAAATTACTAGCACTGTCACAACGACATCTAGTTATTCGCGACGTATACGTTTCGTACTTTCCTTTACGGGCGCGGTACGAGGCCACCGTTACATTTGAGCAGGGCAGTCTCACGCTGAAAATTATTGCAGCAGCTTATCAAAGTAAATATAACAAAAAGTTTAGTATTTTATAAGAACAACCGTATACGATTAGTGCACACGCACGTGAAGATGGAGAGTACGCATATGCACACGACGCAGGTCGCCAAGGAAGCACTTCTGGACTTTCGAGCCAAATTTCTTTCGAGCATTGAGAGTAACCATATTAGCGCATACGACAAGTTCTTGTACATCTGTTCACAAGACCGTCGCAGTCTCGCGGTCTCTAAGTACATGATTCGAGTGGTATACTCAATAGCGTGAGTCTTTGCATACAAGCATCATTCGGAAGCAATCAATCATCTCCAAGAAAGGCTGTCGCATATCGACAAATTTGGATGGATACTTCGTACGGCACGTAGCAGCCATATTGCCTGACGCCACAATCACGTATTCTGACATTTTTGCACGTTCAAATTCCTCGCACATTGGCACAAGGATTAGATATCGAAGGATAAGCGAAATCTATCAATGAAGCAAGCGTAACAAGCATTGATCCAGAGGTCGAGTCATCGATCTAAAGATTATCAAAGTAAAAATAAGTAACACTCATATATGTAACTATACATTTAAAGTCGAAGTATGTTGTTGATTACACGTAAGTTAACATTTCATTATTGAATTATATCAATGGATTTTCGAAAATCAAGCGAAAATCAGACGAAGAACCATAAAGGCATCTGCCACGCGATTTCACAATTATTTAGACTCTCCTCAAACCGAGCGCAACAAAATTCGAGTTAGCTGAGCGGAAAAGCAAATTAGCGGATTTGTTTAGACAATATGGTGAAGTACAATCGAGATTTGAACTTCTAGATGCGGACACTGATAATCCGAACATAAGGCGGCACATGCGGAAAATCGTGCGCAGTTTGAGAAGTCGTACTTTCAATTAATGGCATTATACGAACAGCATAGCAATCGTTTTAAACAGTCTGATAGCGTGTTACAATCAATCAATAACAACGGATCGTAAATCACAATGATGCAGAATCGCAAATTCGATTGTCCAAGATACAGTTATCGATCTTTTCGGGCGCTTACGAAGATTGGTACATATTACACGACTCATTTGACAAGCTCATTCATACTAATAAAAAATTATAGTTAATTCAAAAGTTTCATTATCTACGTTCTTCATTAAAAGACAAAGCTGCTAATGCCATTAAATCTTTTGATATAACAATCGCGAATTATGATGAAGCATAGAAATTATTAGGATTGAACGCTTCGACAATAAGAGACGTATAGTTCAAACTCAACGTCAGAATGATATTTGAAATCGCACCGATTCATAAGGAAAGCCCGGCATTGCGCGGTTTACTTGATGAAATATAATATTAGGTGTTGGAATTAATTCGTAGCGTTTTTAATGAAAGAATGTTATTTATTTCACATGAGCATTAAAAAATACATTAATGAAAGTACTTCCCATCACTTGTAAAACGCTACGAATTAATTCCAACACCTAATACTTAAACATTTTCGAGCACCTAAAGACCCGTAGATTATTGGGATGACATGATGATACATATAGTTTTTTTTATTTATGTATATAGTAAGCAAACTTGATTCTTTTACAAATTAAGTCGTACTTTTACAGCAAAGGAATGAGAATTGAGTCGTACAGGCCAGACAATACCCATATTTAAGGATCTTATTGAATTTTTATTAGAGCATTGTCAAGCTTTGGATCGCTAATAAATCATCATCTCATTCCAATGCATCGAATAGTTCAATAATCCTAGCTCTCATATAGTCACAACAAAGCAAGTTTGTGTTTATTACAAATAATCACTTTATATTTAATTGCGACTCATTTCGCAAACTTCTGAAAGACAGTTCGAAATAATAAAGGGTTCTCATTTGTGCATTAATTGTTTGAAAACATCAGGCAAAGAATTGCACGTTTGGTTACAAAAAATGCGGGAAGTCTCACAACACATTATTGCATTTGATTCGTCAAAGACTAATGGAACAAAGAATGAAAATCAATCAAATAATCTTTCAGTGAATTCACTAAATGTTTCGTCCTCAGATTCTTCACCTTTCGTAGCTTCTCAATACACTCAGCTTAATAAGTCTCTAGAGTATTTCTTTTAACTGTAGTAGTCAACGTATATAATCGTAACGGAGAACTTTATGGTTGTAGAATTTTATTAGAGTCCTAATTAAACTTCATCACAGAAAAATTAATGGACAAATTACAATTTGATACTCGTACACTGAATATGTCGATATGTAGAATCATATTTGACTTTCGAGTCAAAGAGAATGATTAACATTAAGTTTCAGTACGAATATATGCATATGATAGTGATCTTGATTGCATTATTCTTCCTAGAATCACATAAAAATTGCCACAACAATTCAGTCCTGTATCGGAATATAAACTCCCATCAAACATTGTGCTTGCCAATCATAATTTCAATGTCCCAGACGAAATTGATTTGCTCATAGGAGCACAAGCTCTTTGGAAACTTATTTGTATAGGTCAGATTAGGGCGTGTACGGCACATCCTGTATTACAAAAGACTAAGCTTCGTTGGATGCTTTCTGGCACAAGTAAAAAATCTTCGAGCAACATAGCTATTGCATTGTGTCATATGGAGGTAGAGAAATTCGATAACTTGCTCTGTAGATTTTGAGAAGTTGAACATAATATTTTATCTGATGATAAATATCAGTACATTTCTGACGAACGAAAGTGTGAATCGAATTTTTAAGAGAACATTCGTCCTAATTCGGAAGGTCGATTCATAGTCAAACTAAACGATGAGAAGATGGACCAATTGACTCAAAGAAAATCGCGAAATGTTTTCTTAATTTAGAAAAACGCATATCGACATTCGCTGTGTATTACAAATTCATGCAAGAATATCTTAGTCTTAATTATGTGCGCGAAGTTAAGGATATAATAGAAGACAAAATATCTTACTATCTACCACATCACGCGGTCTTTAAAGAGAGTAGTACTGCAACGAAGTTGAGAGTAGTTTTTGATGCATCATGCAAAAGCACCTCAGAAATATTATTAAACGATGTTATTAGTCAGTTCCACTATTCAAGAAGATTTGGTCTCTATTTTGTTATGATTCCGCACTTTCCAATACACTATGACAGCCGACTAACAAGGAAACTTCCCTAAGTGTCACTCTGATTTCGGATTAAAACTTCAGTTTTCGCCTTCACCAGTAAAACATCCCTGCTTTGGGAAAAATCCTTAATCTCAACCGTTTTAGAGATATTGTGATAGAGAGGAATAACTTCTTCATGTGCGCAAAATCCACAATAATTTTGGTACTATTAATAATAAAATGATGAAAATTTGGTATATCAACATATGTCGAAGAACATCTCGCAAGCACATAGTCGAAGTTATTGTTTTTTCGATGTCTTTAAGTAGGAGGAATGCCATGTTATTGAAAAAGAGCGCATACGCAGAGGGCAATTCAATTTATTTATTCATGTATAAATAAGTAAAAATAATAGTTTCATAGAAAAAAATATGGATCTTTTAAATGTAACAAAAATATCTTAAATGTAACAAAAATTTTGGACAGTATCTACTTTATTAATTTTTACTTACAAAAAGTGTATACATTAAAGTGTATGTAAGTGTATATTTGTTTCACATTTTTGTAGCTTATTACATCCTCTATTGTATTGTAATCAGATTTTTGCCAAGCATATTGAATCATTGCCTTAAAATTAGAAGCTTGAAGCTGTTTATACACTAATAACTGCAGATTTATAAGGAAGTATCTGAGGGACTTCTAATTCATCCCGTATAAACCGATTGTATACTCTGCGAACTATAACTTTCCATTAACGTAAAAAAGATACGTCATTTGGTTGACACAATAGTGCCTAGAGGAATTGTGCAGACGCTTACTATACTCTCCTTTTATTTAAACTCTTCACTTTCCACGTAGGAAAGATTTCGCGTAGAATTACTCTTGTACAAACGATGACTGATCAGCGTTTATTGCCATTTCACAGATAGCGATTGTTCATTTATTTTTGCAACATGTGTACATGTACGCATGTTGTAAACATTACGCGTACATTACACATGTACGCATGCGAAACATTTCTCCTACTCAAAGACAGCGTATCAAAGAACAATAACTTTGACTGCGT